CAGGAATCTTGTGTACATCGTTTTTACAGTAGTCAAATTTTACTGCTACTTCAACGTAGGTTACAGTATTTCGATACGAGAGTTACTTGGGCTGTTGAAAAGGGTAAGTGGGTTATATCCAGGAAGCTGGCTACGTAATTATGAGTATACAGGATTACTTATTGGTACGCATAATAAAATCCCGGCTAATTACTTCGGCTAATTAGATGCTTACATTCTGGTAAGCCGTGAATAATGTCAAACGAACCAGAGAAGCAAGGTAAATTAAGGTGGTTATTCCGTGTTTTTCTGTTTTTTTTTCTCTCTCTCTCTCTCCCGTCGCGTTCACGGAGAATTCGCGTATAAAAGAGGCGGGACACGGTATGACATTATTTATCATTCAGCGTAGGCGATCGCGATGCATCAAGTTGCAAGTTTCGGTATTGAGAGTATTTCGACAAGGTGGCCGAGGGGTCGCGGGACGCGGGGGCGTCGTCGCGTTGCGCGAGACGGTATCTGAATACAAAGTGCGAATCTCGCATACAGTCGGTCACTGAATCCGCTCAAGGGAGGTTTACAGGACAAGAAGGCAATAATCCAAGAATGGGAATGGTCCGACCAATATTGCGAAAGTTTCCAAGCCTGCTCTTGGACCGTTAAACTTCTGCCGACCCTCCTTTCCCACGACGGCTGACATATGAATAGGAGGGAAGACGGAATGGCACACGATACTCGACGGAGTCTGGACTCGTTTCTATCGTGGCCGACGTTTAACACGCTTTCAACCCTGAACCCGTATACTGATTCCTACTCGAGCGATTTCAACTGAATTAATCGCTTGATAATCTACCGTAAATGAACAAGTAATTAATCAGTAGCTCAAGGACCCGATTCTCATAGGAAACTAATTCGTCGCACATTTGTAGCTCGTCGAAATAAAATTCTTCCATAATTTGAGGATCGAATGCGCATGCAGCGAATCTATTAAAGCAGCAACAGGAATTTCTGCGTCATTCCGAGCACCCCAGAGCGCGAACAAATTTTCCTCTGGGAATACACGAAATGTATTTACCGGGTGACCCTAGATTTAAGCGATTTCGGACTGGCAAGGTACGGGCATACAACGATAATTCAGAATCCAGCAGCGCTTTCACTCGAAATTTATCCCCGGTTGATCGGAGTTCCAGCGCTATCGTTCGATCATTACAGATTGCTATGCACACCGGGTTAGATTATATCGTCGCCATTCAGCCCGGCCCTTTTCTGCTGTTACTCCTTGAAACCGCGAAGCGGGCACGCGCGCGCGACGTTTAATCACGCGCGATCGTCGGCCACATAATCGGCCGTAAAACGGCCGCAAACGGCGAGCACGTTTTCAAAAATGATCGATCCGAGGGAATGCCGCGTTAACGATCCAGTTAGCGGTCGGATGGTCGCGATAATCGCAAGGGAGCCGCACATAAAAAAGCCGACGCTCCTTTGTCGTCGCGTTTGATGTGCGACGATAAAAGTTGCGCTCCGCTGTGGATGAAAGCAACCCTTCTTTATTTATTCCTAACTACAACTTTGAGCTTCATTCTTCCAATATAGATCGTAGTCAATAAAGTGTGCGTCGAGTATTCTTCCGATGATTATTTTCCAATAAACTTCCAACGAAATTGATGCCGTCAGTTTGGCACATTCCCTTGTTAGATAATTCACCCTCCACACGTGCTTATCGCAAGTGACGCTCCCTCCCATCGAAAGTTTCCCCCGCAAAATTCTCCCGTGTCATTTATGACAAGCTGCGAACCTTCCTCCCTTCGATCGACGCACGCCAGCTGCGAGATAAAGTCATCCCTCCCTCTCCCGAGCGTTTCAACGATACAAGAATCGTATCGCGCGACATAAAACCTCATCGCAGAAGATCTCCCGGGGGTTAGCCTCGCGTTCCTAACATTTAATCGACTGGCCATGGTCCGGAGGAGGCCGCGCGCCCTCACGAGTCCGGTTTAACCTGGATCCCGTTCCAACCCCTTTTTTCGCCACGCAATTTCCAGAATTCTCCATTCTCCGTTCCCCCTTTTATTGCGGTCGTCCGGCGTGACAGGGTTTTTTAAAATCGTCGCCCGAGGGTATTAGATCTGACGGTCGCCGCGTGAAGTGGTCAGTAAAGGGGTGGGAACAGGGGGCGGAGGGTGTCGCGCGGGGCATAAGCACAACTCCGAATCCAGGAAACTCGTAGCCGAGTTCGTGAATGTCTGCGGAGATCCCGGCGACGTGTAACTGCGTATGTAGAGTAACGCGTTTGCCACCGTGCTCAGTAATATCCGTGGTTGGCCATAAAGGGAGTTCGTAAACGGCTAGTACGGCTTTTCTCCTCCTGTATTTTCCACCGGCGACCCTGCCGCCACTGTCGCCGTTCCAATGACCGTCTGGAACGTGCGGCCGGGTCGCACCGTGGAAAACGACGCGAAACAGAATGAATATAGACTTAGCCTATAGCGGCCGTAGCCGCTGCGTGCCAAGGCTCCGCGCGGAAACCGTTCCGTTCCACACTCAAACTCGCCGAGACTGAATCTGCAAACATACGATCGCCCGGACCGTTACACCCCGGCCGGATTATGGTTCATGGGTGTAACTCGGTCGTTCGCGCGATGCACCGGGATACTTTGTTCGGCAGGTCGGCCGAATTGCGCGAGCTTTCGCAACCGTAACTTTTTTTATCTGCTCCAACGTTGGACGCACTCCAACGTCACCGTGTGTTTACTTTTGTTCCGCGCCGCGCGTTGCGCGATGATCGCTGGACTCTTCCGTGTTCGGGAAACGCGTGGATTTTAATTGATCCTCCGAAGTTGATGGAATTTTCTATTCTCACGCGCGAGGAACTTGGAATAAGAATCTCAGAGATTAATCGAGAATTATAAAAGTCGAGTAACGGTTTCGTTCAAGCAGCTCGAACGAGGATTTTAATACGAAATGCTAGGATAATGAATGAGAAACGCTCAACGAACTTCGCTCGGTGATCATCGACCGTGGGAAATGCTTGGAAGTCCGTAAACTCGCAAGACGATACTTTGAACAAGAAGGTTCCGCGTTGCGTGACGTTCGACGAGACACATTATTCATCAAGGCGGCGAGTGTTAATTAGGCCACTCGGCTGCCGGAATTAGAAAATCTAACCGTCACGGTGCCGATGTCAAATTCATAACTAGAAGCGTAACTACATTTCGCGGCGTGCACCGTAATACATCGCGGCTGAGGATAATTCGTAACGAGTTTAAGACCGTTACGCGAAGAAGCTCGTCGACGCAGCGTCGGCCCGCGATTTAAAGGGGCCGGATTTGCTGCGCGCTTTCGCGAGTATCTTTTGCGGGTTTCCGCTCGGAGGTGCAGCCGTCGTAATTAGCTTTTCTTTGCGTGCATCTCTGCCTTCCACCTCGCCCCTCGGCATCTTTCTTCGCGGCGCGGGTACTACTCGCCCGGCCCGGGCCCGCGATTCGAAGAGTCGCGTAATTGACACGCGAAATTGTCTCACGTGTTTGGACTCGGGTTTATTTACTTCGGAACTTTCGAGCGTTCGCCGGGAGTTTCCGGTTTCCCCGGTGCACCGAATCGAAGTTCCCGAGTCAGCAAACTCGGAGAGCAAAGCTCGCGACATCCGAAGTCTTAATGGATATTTCGACAGAATAATTACTGCGCCGGCCGAAAGAGTACGGGGAAATTGTTCCCGACGTTTCCCTCATATGTCATTCTACGGGAAACCGTCTTTTCTGTCCGATTTAATCCTGTGGAAAATTCGAATCTTGCTCTTTGACGGCATTGACAAATCACTTGGTAAACAAGGTAACATTTAAATCTGCAGTTTTTATGCCTCGTTATCCGTTCAAACAAGATAAGTCGTATGCGGAGCGGAGTCGATTATGCTAACATGTGTTGCGTCAGTCAGTTTTTTCAGAGAAAGAAGTGTATTCACTTAGAAGTGTTTATCTTGAACGGTATGACTTGGAATTTCTTTCGGAAAGATAAGTTCCATCTTACATCGAACGCGTCAGCTCTAGTAAGACGTGTTTCGGATAAAAAGTATTATTTGTCACAAGGTGTAGACGTTTAACGAGTAGAGAATGATTCGCAACCGTGCGTCATCGGTTTCCTTATTCGCACGCGAAACGTTCCGAGGGTATTACGCTTTATTAGAGGTCAGCCGGTAACCGGAAGTACCGTCAAATTGTAACTACCACTGTAAAATACGAAGCCCGAGCACGTAAAGCCGGATTACGGTACGCGGTGATTATCCATTTTCATTGCGGACCGTGTTCGTTGTTATCCGAACGGTTCTAAAAACGAAAAGCGCCTATTGGCCGCCCAGCGCAACCGAGATTTTCGGTCGAGATTGCAAGTATGTGTAGTGCTCGTGCTCGTAAGTTCGCGTCTTAAACCGAAAGAGGCAAGCTCAGTTTTGCATTAAGAAGGAAAAGTAACAACTGCGTTCATGCGAGACTGTTCATAAACGGTTGGATTTGAACCTACAGCCCCGAGGCAGCTAAATTTCACGCTGCTTCGAGTGTCACGTACCGGGTGTGCAAGAAACACCGACCCAAGAACAATCGCGATAGTTCTCGATTCGATAACCATGAACTGTGACATAGGAAGAAGTAACGGACCGAGTAACAAATGTCAGGCACACATTTCTACCGAACGTGCATTACGACCGAGAACGGACTCGGTAATGACTAATTCAGTCCGTCAATCATGACCAATTACGTCTCGCGCTATATCCCATCTCTGAGAATACCGAGGGAATTTTCCGTACATCCAGAAACAATGAAGAATACTTCCAGAACTTCAGGGACAACTCGAAAACGGTAACATGCAAAGCAACCCAAACTGTCAACGTATCGAACACCCAATAGTTGTTCGAATCGACCCCAGATCCGGTTAACCGAACGAGTCTCGAAAAGAATATTCCCGAGCAGACGCTCGGCGCGTGCACTCGTTCTAATTTCGACTGTCACCGTTTTTACAGCCGTTACGCAACGGCTTCAAAGGAGAAAGTGCGAAATCATTGGTGCGCCCTCTGCGCCGAAAATCCCCGGCCGAACGTGTATCATACGTTACGCGTCCGCGGCGGTAGAGCGGAAAACCTGACGTGATTCGTAACGATGTCGTTATCTGGAAGAAACTCGGAGATAAACACTGCGAGACGAGACCGGGTCGGGTCGATGGGAGTCGGTAGTAGGATCGCGACCGTCCGATCGTAAACACGGTCGCGTGCGTATCGAAGATAAGGATCGCGCAGCTTGCGGAGCCAGCTGTAGGTCGCTGGTCCCGCCGAGCCGAAATTGCCGAAACTTGGGGGATCCCTCGATCGATCGTGGATCATCCGTCCGCGTGCCGCGCGAACCAGCGAAAGTGAGAACCCCGGCGGACGGTCTCGCTTGCTCCGATAAACACAATCCTTTTCCCTCGCGCGTACAGGGACGACGAGTGTGTGTCGTGCTGGGTGAATAACGGGTTTCCGCGTGTGTGCGTCTGCATGTGGATCGGATCCGCTTGTGATAGTGTGTCAGTACTGGGAAACGGTGCGCGCGTTGCTCGTCGCCTCCGCCGAGAGCAACGATGACGACGGATCACGAAAGCGACACGAGGGTGAGGCTGAGGAGGACCAAGAGCGTCACCAGGGCCGAGGAGATCCAAAAGGCCGAGATGATGGTGCGCAGATCGCAGCCGGACAGGGCGTGAGTAGAGTTGGTTCGTCATTCCAGCTGCGCGTTTCGTGTTTCCGTGACGGTTCCACGGTCCAACTCCGTCGTGCACGGTCCCCATGCTCCTCCGAATAGCCGTTTTTCCGATTCACCGGGACTCGGGATTCAGGAACGTTCGATGCACGGATTCGTTTGCGCACGAGGAACGCGGAGACACGAAATTTCCAGGTTGCCACTAGACGCGTCTAGGGAAGAGGCGACGTTACGGAGGACGCATGCGCAGCTCGACTTGGATCGAGCGCGACTGTGAACGAGGAATCCCCACCATGGTGATCGTGTCTGAACGGGAGAGAGTACATTCCCCTTCTCGTTTCAGCGCACGATCCGTCCGCGCGCCGTTCCGTCGCGTGTCATAATCGATGCGGAGGTCAGCCGCCGGTAGCGCTCGTGTTTTCCATAGCTCGTTTCACAAGGCCCGGTCCGAGAGGCCTTCGGACTTTATCCGGAGCTAACGAACCGGCCATGCGGACGATCCGTCCCCGTTGGACGGGACGACAAGATCTGACCGACTGCCTTAATTGGGCTGCCCGCGGAGGACACGGCTCCACGACCCAGTTTTCTTCTCTCCGGCGATACACGTACGACTGGATTTCGCGGGACTGTGGTCGTGAATGCGAACGACACAATGCGGCGCCGGCTGAATGGAGAAATGTTATTTAGCACAGGGCTGAAATGTAATCTGATTACGCGCCGATTATGGCCGAATCGAATGGGTATTTCGTTGTCGCGGCTCTCGTCGGGGCGACGTTGTTATTCGAAATTTCCGAAATATTTTCCTTCGGCCAGCTTGCTCCCGCGACTCGAATATTCAAGGGAAACAATGGAATTTCGGTCTAGACTACTGCAGAATTGAGTCTCCCGAGCAGGAAGGTCGGCGTTTCGCAACGTTGATGGCTTTTAGTAGTTAGCAGGGGATCCGCGAGTTCTATGAAGCATTAAAAACAGGAAATTATTCAGAGTTTACCTGGCCCAAAGAGCGGCGCGTTCCCGACGCGATCGCGTGCGTCTGGGATCCGCGCCGCTGGGCTCTCTCGATAAACCGTGGATCAGTTATGCGGAAACGACTAATATTTACACTGACGTCAACTATTCTAGTGTCTACACTGGGGGCAGGAGTGAATGGAGCAGGGTTCATTCACGAGAATGGACACTGGAGCAGGGAATTGAATGTGAATGCCGTGGCGGCGAGCGCGTCGCGGAAACGCAAAACTTTCTTTAACGAGTTGTTCGTTTCGAGAACACGGCCGCGGTGGATAGCACGCGAAGAAAACACGGCGAAAGATAATCCGTTCGCGGCGATAGGATAATTATCGAGGTTCGCTCTCCTGCTGCCCTGTTTTTCCTCGTTCCCTGTCTCCCCGTTACTTCCTCGCGTACACCGATGGTCCCATTTCTTCATGGCAAAGTTACGGGGAAAGTTACACCGGGTGCGAGGATCACGGTGACGCGGCACCGTTCTCGTTTCCCGCTCAAAAACAATGGCAATGTCTGGCCGAAGTTACGGACAAAGTTTTATTAAACTTGACGAAGACGAACCGTTTCTGTTGCTCGATCAATAAGTTCTCGCCGGGGTGTACACCGACGAGCCTTTCCGTATTTTCGATTCGAGGCGAATTTTACGGCCGCGCGGTAACCAGCTTTTCGAACAATTATATCGCGAACGGAGGAACAGCCCGGAGCACGGAGAACAGAGGTACAGAGTGGAAAATAAGACGGTTGAAAATCAAATTTCGAACACCGCGGCCAGCTCCCAGGTGGCTCTCCATTAAACACTCGAGACGTGCAATTAAGAGTCGGTCTCTCGTGCATCAGAGATTATGAGGGATTTAAGAGTATTCCGATGTAAACTTACAGGCCGTTAATAATCCTGAAATAGTGCTCCGGTTTTCTTTGCACAGCAGATTGTGTGTACAGAGAGGTCTATCATGTTTCGGCGATAACGTTGTTGGTTTATGCGCTGACTCGTCTTAAGATATATTTGCACGTTATTAGATTAGAGTTGGCTGATATATAAATAGCAATATATCAAGCTTAATCGCGGCCCGGTTCGCGCGCAACGCGCGTGTATCGTTTGTGTCTGAGGTCGATGCATATTCTCCACTGTAAACGGACACATTAACATTCTCGCGCGCTCGGCCATCGTTGCCGATTCGGATAATTAATCGAAATATTCGTAACGCCCGGCGAATCGTTGTAAATACGATGAGAATGACGAGAAATACGAAAAAAAAGGGAACCATTTATCTGTCGGACGTACTCGATATCGGATGCCGATGACGTTTCCGCGCAGTTGATACCTGGAACCGACTCGAAACACTTTTGTCCGTGACGAGCGAATATTTGCGAGGCCTGTTGAATACAAATATCAGATCGAAAATTTAAATCACTTCGCTAAATAATGGTTTTCAGTTGTTGACGTATAGTGGGGGAAGGCGGATCGGGGAACGCCGGGTAGAAAATCGTTTGATATCGAACGTTGAGCTCTCTGCCGAACAGATTCGAAAATACATTCTATTAATTAACCGATCAAACGATCGAAAACCGCACCGGGCTGAGTCGCCCGCGCTTTGAGTAACGCGAAACGACTCGGTACGGTGCGTATTCACTTTGTGACAATTACGGAATAATTCCCCTTGACGGCGCCACGGCAAAACATGAAACTTTGCACAGTGTAATTAACGACCAGTACGCCGACATTGCGCAATTTCGTGTTTCCTTTCGATCGACGGTTTTATCATTGACCGAACGTCGAGGCTACGCGTCGCGGCGACTTTATGTAACTCGCCGGGTACGAAGTTCAATAACGCGTCCACGTAATTAAAACAAACGTTAATGAGTGTCGCGGTTGATAATTAGTTCGCCGACCCGTTCATACTCGCCCATGCTGCTTCTTTTTTTCCCTATTACTTTTACTTCGTTTAATTATAGACTGAGTTAAAAACGAAATTACTTTGCATGATGTTCGTATTTGTCGCGTCGAGGTAAAATGCCATCTGAAAATCAATACGGTAAATAGTAGTTGCATTTTAGTCGTTGGAATTACCGAGATTATAATTCCGAGTGCGTCCGCTCGTTGCTCGCCGTTTCTACTTGTCGGGAGTATTATCAGTTGAAAGGAAGACGCATAACGACGTAATGCAATTAATTCTCGTAAACATGATTTTAAAAGTGGAGGAGGCATGCAATGCACAGACAAAGTAGTCTATGTAGTCACAGGAAAAACTTTAGCGCATTGTTTTCAAAGGAATTAAACCTCTCACGCATGTTATTATACATATCCGACTTACATTTGCCAGTGAATACACTTTTCTGCATTTATAAGATACACAAGCCAGAGTAACATTAATGAAACGCAAACTTTAATTAGATTCGCTATGGTTTCATTCTACTTTTAATTCGCTGAAACCATTCATGAACGAAACTAAATTTAATTTAAAGTTACTTGCTCGAAATTTCCCGACGAAAATATAAATTTCCACAAACTTCCGTGGTCTAATCATAAAAAACAGCCACGAGCTTTCCCTATCGCGATCCCTTTAATTATCTAAGTTCGTTTTTTAAGAAACGCATTTATTACGGTTAGATTTCCAAAACTGTTAAATCTTAATAGAAAGCAACGCATCCCCGCGAAAGAAAAACCTAAGTGGAGAGCCACTAGAAATGCAGATTTCTTCATCTCTTTTATACAGAAGATCTAAGTAATATTGGCTCGTACACACAATCGTATACTTATACTTTCTTACCGGTACGCGAATGCTTTGCTCTCCCAATTATGGCAACTCGGCAAAATTGCTGACGCGAGTTCGTCGCAGTGCGACCAGTGTCGCGTGTCTTTAATTAAAATGTTAATTCGAGTGACGGCGCAGGAACGTTGATGGAGCTGCGGCAGATCGGCACGATAGCCCGGGGATGTATCGGACGAACACTTTCGTACACACCGCGCTATGAAGTATCATAAATTCATGACCAGTTTACAGTGTATTCGGTTTGAAGTGCAGTTTCGATCGTGTTCTTCAATCGGAATCGCTAATCAAAGAATCCGACCTTCCCGAAGTTAACGAAAGAACCGTTAACCCTCGTTCACATGTCGCCGATACTTTCCTGAACGCAAAAAGTACACTGACTTTCAACCTCCACCAAAACTGGAGCACATTTGTCAGGCTCATAAAGCTCCTCCGGTTCGCGTTTTAATATCCTTTCTACGTGGAAAAAATTTAATCAAACACAGGGATCAAAAATTAATATCTCGAAAAACGAAGGTAAATCCGTTGCTGGGTATTCCGTAGAGATGTTTCGCGGGTACAAAGTCGTCTGGAAAATTGGTTGGAAGAATGTTAGAAGATTAGAACACACAGGGTGGCGAGGGGAGGATCGGTAGGCTCGTAATAGAGATTTATTCATTTCAATTGCTGATGAATTGAACTCTCGCAGGACAAATGTATGCATCGAATATAACGAAGTGCGAGCATTACCGGGATTCTCATAAATCCCCCTTGATCCTGAGTGTACAAAATCCTTAACAAAGAATAGTAGACTTCCAGATGATTACCATAGCCCAAGAAGACTCTCAGGAAATGTAAATCCACGCGGAGATCCATTAATAGGAAGTTACACTCGCTCGAAGCTGCGCGGACGCGCTCGTAAAGATAAAAAGTAATAATTATTACAACTTCGGTCCGTTCGTCCGGGCAAAACGCTAATTAGCGTTCCCGAGGAGGACCGTCGGGATGTTGATGATGCCAGGAGCGTCAGTTTTTCCCCGCACCTCTCCCTCGGCCTCGCCGAATGTATCCTCCCGACAAGCTGTGTTTTATTAGCGAGAGGTTGCCCAAGGAAAAAAAAGCAGTGAAATCTTCGTCCCCCTTTGACATGCCATAATGACCTGCAAACAAGAGCGTTGTTTTTTTTCCTTTCGCCCTTGCTCTCTCTCTCTCGAGGAAAAGAACACCTTTTCTACCTTCGGTTGTTTCTTC